TTAAAAAATCAATCTCAACTTGTTCTCTAAATGAAACTCGATGGAAGAATTTTCCATTAAACTATTTCTGAGGAGACTGGCCTGCTGGTGATGTACTCATGAATACATTCTCCAGATGAATTGGGGACCAGAAGTCCTGTTGGAGGCTGTCTGGAAGAAAAGGTTTAGGGGGCCCCCCTCTTCGCAAGGGGCCTAGACCCTCTTGGGAATTTCTCCAGTAACGATTCACTCTTGGAAACTGAAATCCTATGGTGGAGAGAATGAGATACACCTGTGGTTGTCAGGCCTGTCACAACTGTGTCCCATTGTGGCCCTTAAGAAGAAGAAAGGACTGATCAAATGTGTTTTAGTCAGTGGCCTGGCCCTAGTTCAGTTCTTTAAGTGGCTGCTTCGACAAAGCAATCAGGCTCAGTTTGCAGTGGTTTAATCCCCACCACTTCAGCCAGCCAAACCTGCCCTGAAGTCATTTGGAGCCGAAAAAGAAAAAAAAATCCTTATTCCATTTTTTTCTAGAAAGGACTGGGAGGCCGGTACTTCAGGTGCAATGTTTTCTCAGGACCCAAAAGCGGATTACAAGGTGAATTGGTGAGGTAGCCGAAGGAATTTGGACCAGAAATTGAATTTTTGCCTGGAGACTGGAGCAGCCTTAGGAAGGCCCAGCTTCCAAAGAGGCCTAGCATTTAGCTGAAGTTTCTCCTCTTAGAACTCAGCTTCTGAACTCTTTTAGACTTCAGCAGAAACTGGACTACCAAACTGCCAGGAAACAGCATTTGCGAGGTTTTGATGCTGAACAGGAGAAATCCAAACTTAGTATGACTCACAAGGAAAAGGATATAGCCCCAACAACATGGCACTATCCCTACCAAATATCAAAAACCAGAGCAAACACTAAGTCCTCTAACAAAAGAAGTTGCATATATACAATTAGCTGAGTCCTAACCTGCTCCCTATCCTGAACCAGCAACCTATAGAAGAGCAGCTAAAGAAGTAACAAGCTGTTTTGAAAACACGTTTCAGAAGGAGCACATATAAATGTACAATGAAGGTGGACAGAGTGAATTTACCCATATGAGATCAAGACATATCTCCTGCCATAGCTAACTAACCAAAAGCAAGATAACACAAATACACTATAAGTTAAGACAATTAAAGGACTGGTCAAATAGCTCAATGGATTAAAGCCCCTGCTTAGGCAGATACAATGGCCTGCCCTCCTGGCCCATGTCATTCAGAGACTGCAATTGAGACTGGGTGTGGTGGCGCACACCTGTAATCCTAGCTCTGAAGAGGCTGAACACAGGCAGATCACTACGAATCTGATCTAAGGTCTATATAGTGAGACCCTATAGTCCCTGTACTAAAATACAAAAATAAATACAAAAATAAAATTATTAAGATATGTTTATGTACATATACCAACACATGAGAATCTAATCACTACGTACTACAAACATATAAAAGTTTAAATAATTTACTTGTCTTTGCAAACAAATTATTTATTTATTTATTTATTTATTTTTGTGGTACCAGGTATCGAACTCATGACCTTGCACTTGCCAGCTTGCCAGACAGGTGCTTACACTGCTATCTCCCCACCCCTCAATAAAATCTCTGTAGTTTAAAAAAATTTTAAAAAGGCAAAAGGCAATTTATACTGTTCCTCACACAAACTGTGTTTCATTGGAACCGAATATTTGTGAGAGAAAAGTTTTAAAAACTTTTAACTTTCCTTTTGAAAGAAAAGTTCCAGTGCTGTAGGTATAGCTAAACAGTATAGCACCTACCTGTCATGCACAAGGAAGTTCCTGGATTCAATTCCCAGCTCTGTAACACCAAACAAAACAAAAGAAACCATCCAAACAGCTAATAAATGCAGAAAAATAAGAAGAATGAAATAGAGGTTTAGGCAATGATCCTCAATAGCAGCTAAAATCCTCAGATCAGAGGTTCAGGAGAAACATTTTCTTAGGCACATCCCCCTGACAGGAATGCTAGTCAATCTTAACATCAAACAAGAGAGATAACCAGAATGCCCCCGCCTTCTTGCTATGATGCATCAAACACACAGTACTACCTGTGAGGTACTCAACAGAGCCTGAATCCAGTCAAGCCTGAAAATCTTAACTATCCACACTACAGGCAACATGAATGACAGCAAAATACATTAAAATCTGTAAGAAAAAAAGACAATTTTTTAAGTGAAAGAATAATTACTGCTATATATATATTTTTAAAAAACATGATAATTGAATGTAAAAAATGTGCCATAAATAGATTTACATATAAGTAAAGCAATTATACAAAGACTTTTTTTGGACCATGGGAAGACACCTAAATTTGAACTGAATATTAAAGATTAAATTCTGAAGTTAATTTTGTGCATTTTATTTATTTATTTACTTATTTTGTGGTACTGGGGATTGAACTCAATACCTTGCGCTTATTCTACTGAGCTATCTCCCAGGCCCAAAAGTATTGAATTTTTTTTTCTCTTTTTTATTTTTGTGGTACAGGGAATCAAACTTGGGACCTTATGTTTGCCAGGCAGGTGCTTATGCCCCTGAGCTATCTCCCTGGCCCTGTGCATTTTAAAGAAATGATACTAATGCATTTATAGGTGAAACAGTATGTCTGGAATTTCCTTTAAAAATATCCAAGGTAATGATATGGAAAGACACATGAAGAACCCAGACTACAGTTGCTATCCACAAGACTAAAAACACTGTAAAAAGTTATTGAAATTAAAATATTAGAATATATATATATATATATATATATTAGAAAAGTAGAGAAATTAAAGAGCTTGAGGAAAACAGATTCTCAGAAAGCAACTTGACCTTTCAAACATTTCTTTGTGTTAAAATAGGGCTAATTCCCACTGCACAGTATTATGGAAAGTTTATGTTAAATAAAGCTGAAAGTGCTCTCATTTCAATTCAAAAATAACTCAATAAGCAGCTATTATGTAGCATATAAAAAGTAGTATTACTGTGATTGCAAGTGGGTTTAAATGAGTAATCAAATTCTAATTCAAGGGCCAGCCATATAGCTCAGTGGACTAAAGCGCCTGCTTAGTCAGAGTGCAGCAGCCAGATTTGATCCCTGGTGTGGCATGCCGAGGTGGCCCTGCCCCTGGGGCAAGCCGTGACAATGATTGAGACTGGGTATGGTGATGCACACCTGTAATCCCAAGCACTTGAAAGCCTGAAAACAAGAGAATCACTACAAGTTTGATCTATGTAGTGAGACCCTATAGACCTTGTACCCTGTAGACCCAGTACAGAAAAAAAAAATCCAATTCAATCTAATTTAAACTAACCATAAGAGCTAAAAATGTTACATGTTTTAAGAGAGGTTTCACAATTAGTAACAAGTTCCTGGATTATAGAAACTTGTTAAATTATATTTTAAAATTTTCAAAATATTTTATTGAAGTTATTTTTATTTAAAGATTAAACTAGGTTTGGAAAATATGTAGCTCATTTCAAAACTGTAATTCAATAAACTATGGTATTGCTTTTCTTTGACCACTAATATAAATATGAATTTCAAGGAAGGAATAATTTAAAAAAGGGAAAATACACTACTGCCTTTACTAACAATAAAATAGACCTCAATAATTTCTCATCTCAATAAGCAGTTTGAGGTTTTACAGGACAAATAATCTTTTGCCAATAAACATATCTGTATAATTTATTAATTTACTTTTTGCTTCTTATTTTGTGAAGTTATAAGCCATTATATAAAAATTCAGATTTTTAAAAATACTACTCCTTACAAAAGTTAAGTGAAATGATCCAAGTTTGAAGGGTACATACAAAAGTAAAAATGCCTGTTTTGCTTCTTATTGTTAACCATATTGGTAAATGGCAGAGTAAATAGATTTCATGAAATTATAGATTTCCCTACTCAACTTACCTACATATTACTAAAATGTCAGAAATACTTCTTACTATCTTGTGAAAACAGGAACATCAGACATTTTTATTTTCAGAAAGCAATATTTATATATTTCTTTTCTTTCTCAGACCTCTTTACACACTACCAAGAATCTACTATTTTTCCCTGCCAATGAACAGCACACTAAATGTCACCAAGTCCTAAAAAGTTTTGGCATATAAGACTGGGAAAGACACTTCTGCTAGTGTTCCACTTAATAATAGGAAGATGGTATGATTTAAATAGCTTAATTCTGAATCAATATTAATTTCTACCCCCACAAAGTCATAGAATAGCTTCCATTAAGTCACTGACCATCTTGTTGGTCAAAACCCAACTGACTATCCTCTTGACTCCACTTCCAAGAAAAGCAAAACTACACTTTGTAGAACTATGGAATATCCTTTGACTATGATACTGTACTACATGGCACAACTCACTACAATTAAGAGAGGCAATGGGGAAATAAGATGGGATTATACATTAAAGATGACAAAATAGAATATGAAAAAAATACATATGACTTCACTAAAAAATACATTTAATGAAACAACAAAAATATGACAATACCGATTATAGTAGTAGAAAAGGGTAACTTTTAATGAACAAAAGGATTGTTTAATTTTAAAACAGTGGCTTCTAGAGCTGATAAGATAGCTCAGAGGACTAAGTACCTGCTTAGGCAAGCACCAGAACTGTTGAATCCCCAGCACCACATGCCATGCTGGCCCTGCCCCTGTAATCTCAGTGCTAGGGAGGTTGAAAACAGGAGGATCACTATGAGTCAGAGCTGTGTATCTCTCTGTATCTCTACAGAGAGATCCTGTACCAAATACATAAAAAACAAAACAACAACAACAACAAAAACCAGTGATTTCTCATTTATGTGTAAGCTATAAAAGCTGATTTCACAGAAGTAGAGAAAAAAGTGGTCACTAACATTAGGAAAGGTAGGGAGAAGGTAGACAGATGGAAGACTGAACACAGGTACTAAAATACTGCCTGGAAAGAATAAGTTCCAATACTTCATAGCACTATAGGCTGTCTCTACATTTGTTAATATTTGTTTTATAAAGAACTAACAGAGAAATCTGAGGATTCCCAACAGAAAAAATGATACATGTTTTAGGAGTAGGAAATGTCAATTAACCTATTTGATCATTACACATTATATATATATATATATATATATATATATATGATATTTATATGCATTGAATATTGCATTATACACATAGATATGTGCTTTATATGTATAAAAGGAAAAGTCAGATTTTAATTTTTTTTTCAGTACCAGGGACTGAACTCAGCACCTTATGCTTACCAGGCAGGCACTAAGCTGTGGCGCTATCTCCCCAGCCCCTATATCTTAATTTCTTTTTATCAAAATTTGAAGATTAAATAAACTTCTGATGTTGAAAGTAAAAATATTATTTGGATTTCAAGAGGTGGCTGTGAAAGTGAAGTCTGTAAACCATTAACACTATCAAGATTTCACAGCACTCAGTACATTTTTAAAAATACAGTTTTTGGAGCATACCCTAGACTGACAAAAATCAGAAAATCCTATTCTATACAACCTGTGTTTAACAAACCTCTTAGTTAATTCTGATACACAATTTGTTGGAGAAGCACTGACAAAAATGTTGCAAATTGAAAGTAACACTCTTCAACCCACTAAAATCACACCATTAATTTCAACTAAAATATCATGTAATTTAAAAAAGCTTTTGTGGGCTGAGAAATTTAGTTCTCAAATTGCTCAATTTAGGAGTCCATTATTTTTCCATGAATTTACAATGCCATCTACTGACAGATGTAAAAACTGCAGCTACAAAAAAAAAAACCAAAACAACAACAACAACAAAAAAAACAGGTTTAAATTTTGTGCATCTCTAGTCAAACATACTTTTAAAAACAATTTTAATAAAAACTACAATAACAAATATTTTAAAAAAACTATCAAACATACTCATTATACATAATCTTTCATAAATATTGTATTAACATGAACAAAACAGATCTTAGTTTCAGGACTTAAGGGAAAGAATCAAGATTGTGGCACATTCACATGCAATCTTAAAAACCTCAACAGTGAATTTCTTGGTTTTTTTAGGCAAGTCTCACACTGCACAAATGTTACAGTCATTTCTGATTCAGTAATGTATTGAACATTGCAATTTCCCAGTTAATATCCAATTAAATTTCTCTGATAGTTAATACAATATAAGGAGTTTTCCTTGCACTTAAGAATCCATTTTTCTCATTTAAGGGAAAAGGAAAACAATGATTTAAGAAGAGATAAAGTGGAAGCAAAGCTTTGTAAGTAGTGAGGGAAAGGGGCTGAAGGGAGGAAAAGGGATTAGGAAAAAAATGGAGGAATCAAAATATCATGTACAAATTCCCTATGATGAATGTGATCATTATGTATATCCAAGTTGTACCTTTAAACTTACTTTAAAAAAAACTATTTTATTCCAGTTTTCTGATCACATATACCTCATGCAGATAATATATCATATGGAAATTTTTCTTCTTCAAAACAGCATTATGCTTCTGCCATATTAACGTCAAGAAAATGAATCCACATAAGTTTTAAGTATCTAAGATTTAAAGGAAAAACTTTAAAACCTCAAAGTAGACAGCATAAATTATATGACTATTATTTTTTATTTTTATTTATTTTTGTGGAACCCAGGGATTGAACTCAGGCCCTTGTGCTTGCCAGGGAAGCACTTATACCACTGAGCCATCTCCTCAGCCCCTATATGACTATATGATTTGGATCTTAAATGTTCCCCTCAAGATCATACGAGCTAGCTGATGATTCTATTGGGAGGTGCTGGAAACTTTCAGAGGTGAAGCCTAGAGGAAGGAATTTAGGTCATAGAGAACAGTGTCCTTAAAGGAAACAGGATTCCAGCCCCTTCCTCTCCCTTCTCACCTCCTGGGCATCATGGTATAAGCCACCATACTCTCTCCTGACCAGGATGTTTATCCTTGCCACAGGCTAAACAACCAGGGACTAAAACCTGTCAAACTGTGAACTAAAATAAGTATTTTCTTTTAAGCTGTTATTGCATATATTTTGTCACAGCAAAAGAAAACTTACTAGCACAATGTCCCAAATTTTTACAACTGGAAATATTCTCAAGTTTAACCATCTTTTTCTGATTTAAATACCTTCCTCTAATAGCAGCATTTCATTAGGATTGAAGAAGCTTTATGTTTACTGAACTCTAACCTGGGAAAACACTATGATCATGATAGATAATGTCCTAAAATACTGAGATAGAGGTAGGTCATGGCAAGGTTACCTGGAAAAATAAGTGGGTTCTACTAATTACAAGATCCTGGGACAACACTAAATAATACCCAGAATGCCACATGCAGAACTTCTCAAGGATATGGGATGTGCAATGAGGAAGACATACAAGGGCACAGACACCAAGAAGATGCCACTATCATGACTCTTCATAGTAGGCCACTCTGTAGATCTGAGGATGTACTTTTATTTTTGCTTTTTTCCTTTTCCTCTTTCACTTGGGCCAAGTTTGATATGCAGTCAGTTTCTTCAATACTCCTTCACTTTTCACTTTCAAAATAAACCATTGGGACCCACAAGATAGCTCAGCATACTAAGCGCCTGCTTTGGCAAGCACAGGGACCAGGATTCAATCCTCAGTCCCACATGCCACACCAGCCCTGCCCCAGGGCACACTGAATTGGCCACAGAGTCCAGGCATGGTGTTGTACTCCTGTAATTTCAGCACTGGGGAGGCTGAAAACAGGAGGATCGCTATGAGTTTAAGCTGCATAGTGAGACCCTGTACAAAATACATAAAATGGAAAAAATGAACTTTTGGCCCTATTTTTTAACTGTCTCATTCAACTCTTTGTTCAAGATCAAAGGGATATAGCATATGTTTAAATGGCTAGCCATTTTTAAAAAATTACCCAATAACAGTATGATTCTTGGCCAGTTTTTCTTATGTAATTGTTCTAAAAACTGACTTTAAAGTCATAATGCCATAATACCATGTCCGATACAGATAAAATTTTAGGTTTATACTATTATTGCAACATGACAGCCACTGTTATGGTTTTGTCTTGATGTCTCCCCAATGCCTTGGCAGTCACAGGACTTCTTCAAAGCCTTTTTCATCTAGACTGTAGAACACTGGTGTATGATTACTAAATCAACCCACTGATATTTTAGGGTTTTGCACTGCCCTGATCCCCGCAGTCTGGATAAATCCCAGCAGTCTGGATAAAATGAAAGGGGCAGAAAGATGCTTTAAGGCCTTTTACTGCTTTTACTGTCTTCTGCCACTATAGATAGCTGCCCCTCCTCCACTATGTGTCACCCGATCTTGGAGCCAGTAGATTATGGACTCCGCTAAAATGAATTAAGTAAATTTCTCCCCTTTGAACTTTGGGTTTTGGGTATTT